TTGCCAAGCCTGGTGGAGACGCGCGTGATCGACCTGAAGTCCCAATCGCGCGTGCACTGTACCTGCGTGGCGTTCAGGCACGCGCGTGATGCTGCTCGCTCCGCGTTCAACCAGTACGTCGCCAGTGCAACTTTGGACGATGGACAACCGATTGATGATGCGCGACCCCGGCCTTGAGTTTCTTTCCCGCGGGCCGCCCGCAGACCTGGCGGCGCGCCTGCGAGCGTTCAGCTCCCGCGCTGAAATGTGCGGGAAGGAGGCGGAGAAGCTAGCGGGCGAGCTACGCCTCGCTCGTTCCTTGCACTCTAAACAAGTTTTATCATGTGGAACTCTGCGACGACATGGCGCAGGCAGCGCTGCGGGTTTAGCTCGCACTTGAAAAACGCGGCAGTCTTCTGTCTCCTCCCGCCACTTTCATCGTCGTCCTATTCCCCGCCTCACCTTCTCCATGCATGCTGCTGCTTCCGCGATGGCCTTTCGCCCCCCCCGCCCTCCATTCCATCCCTCTCCTACCCCTCGTTCCCGTACCCGTTCTTCTTCGATCCTGGGGCCTCAAGCCTCGTTCTTTCGATCGTCGTCCTGTGAATCGTGCAACGCATGCGCATCCCATGTAGCTTGCACAGCAAATCGCCGCGTCTACACTGTCGCTGTTCCTGCTAATGTTGGCATATTCCTCTTGCCATTTGATGCACGTGGGTTGGGTACGTCGCAGGGTATTAAAGTTTTTAAGCATTATATTTTTCAATACTACAAAAAGTTTTCGCCTGAGACCCCCTCAACATGTTATAAATCCATTGGGTTTGGCGGATGCTAAAACCCAAAGAGAGACTCAAGCGAAACTGCGTTTTTCTGTGTGGAATCAATGTAGAAACAATGAAACATCAGGTTTCGCTTGAGACTCCCTCCGGATTTTACAGCAGCCAAGCTCAATGGATTTATAAAATTGTGGGAGAGTCTGAAGCGAAACCTGGTTTTCCTATTGTACTTAAAAATGAAAATTAGCCTGGCGAAGGACCCAACCATATGCAGCTGCGAGTACAGCAAGGATACCAGTGTCAAGCTCCCCCCGACCTTCGGTGGAGATCCCTATGGGGCCACGAAACGTGTGAGGGGTGTGCCGAAATGGGTGTTGGGGAGTGCCGAAATGGGTGGTGGGGAAGCATGCGAACCCTGCCACTGGGGCCTTCGGTGGAGCTCCCTATGGGGCCACGAAACGTGTGAGGGGTGTGCCGAAATGTGTGGTGGGGAGGCATGCGAACCCTGCCACTGGGGCCTTCGGTGGAGCTCCCTATGGGGCCACGAAACGTGTGAGGGGTGTGCCGAAATGGGTGGTGGGGAGGCATGCGAACCCTGCCACTGGGGCCTTCGGTGGAGCTCCCTATGGGGCCACGAAACGTGTGAGGGGTGTGCCGAAATGAGTGGTGGGGAGGCATGCGAACCCTGCCACTGGGGCCTTCGGTGGAGCTCCCTATGGGGCCACGAACGTGTGAGGGGTGTGCCGAAATGGGTGGTGGGGAGGCATGCGAACCCTGCCACTGGGGCCTTCGGTGGAGCTCCCTATGGGGCCACGAAACGTGTGAGGGGTGTGCCGAGATGGGTGGTGGGGAGGCATGCGAACCCTGCCACTGGGGCCTTCGGTGGAGCTCCCTATGGGGCCACGAAACGTGTGAGGGGTGTGCCGAAATGGGTGGTGGGGAGGCATGCGAACCCTGCCACTGGGGCCTTCGGTGGAGCTCCCTATGGGGCCACGAAAATGGGTGGTGGGGAGGCATGCGAACCCTGCCACTGGGGCCTTCGGTGGAGCTCCCTATGGGGCCACGAAACGTGTGAGGGGTGTGCCGAAATGGGTGGTGGGGAGGCATGCGAACCCTGCCACTGGGGCCTTCGGTGGAGCTCCCTATGGGGCCACGAAACGTGTGGGGGGTGTGCCGAAATGAATGGTGGGGAGGCATGCGAACCCTGCCACTGGGGCCTTCGGTGGAGCTCCCTATGGGGCCACGAAACGTGTGAGGGGTGTGCCGAAATGGTGGTGGGGAGGCATGCGAACCCTGCCACTGGGGCCTTCGGTGGAGCTCCCTATGGGGCCACGAAACGTGTGAGGGGTGTGCCGAGATGGGTGGTGGGGAGGCATGCGAACCCTGCCACTGGGGCCTTCGGTGGAGCTCCCTATGGGGCCACGAAACGTGTGAGGGGTGTGCCGAGATGGGTGGTGGGGAGGCATGCGAACCCTGCCACTGGGGCCTTCGGTGGAGCTCCCTATGGGGCCACGAAACGTGTGCGGGGTGTGCCGGGATGGGTGGTGGGGAGGCGTGCGATCCCTGCCACTGGGGCCTTCGGTGGAGCTCCCTATGGGGCCACGAAACGTTGAGGGGTGTGCCGACATGGGTGGTGGGGAGGAATGCGAACCCTGCCACTGGGGCCTTCGGTGGAGCTCCCTATGGGGCCACGAAACGTGTGAGGGGTGTGCCGAGATGGGTGGTGGGGAGGCATGCGAACCCTGCCACTGGGGCCTTCGGTGGAGCTCCCTATGGGGCCACGAAACGTGTGAGGGGTGTGCCGAGATGGGTGGTGGGGAGGCATGCGAACCCTGCCATTGGGGCCTTCGGTGGAGCTCCCTATGGGGCCACGAAGCGTGTGAAGGTGTGCCGAAATGGGTGGTGGGGAGGCATGCGAACCCTGCCACTGGGGCCTTCGGTGGAGCTCCCTATGGGGCCACCGTGAGGGGTGTGCCGAAAAATGGAGCTCCCTATGGGGCCACGAAACGTGTGACGCATGCGCCACTGGGGCCTTCGGTGGACTGGGGCCTTCGGTGGACCCTACTGGGGCCCACGAAACGTGTGAGGGGTGTGCCGAAATGGGTGGTGGGGAGGCATGCGGACCCTGCCACTGGGGCCTTCGGTGGAGCTCCCTATGGGGCCACGAAACGTGTGAGGGGTGTGCCGAAATCGGTGGTGGTGGTGATGATGATGATGATGATGATGATGATGATGGTGATGGTGACGGTGATGGGAGGAGGGAGGGGGGGGAGGAGGAGGAGGAGAGGAGGAGAGGAACGCGGGGCACCGTCTCTTCAAAACGAGGACTCAACACCACAGGATGGTTGGGAAAAAATGAAAAGTTATGAATCCTGGGGCCCTCACACAGGTCCAGACCGCCCAAGATCCCCACACAAGGATTCCCTTTGTAATTCGCCACAAAAGGGTTTCCTTTGTAATCCGCCGCAAAAGGAATCAATGTGTAATCCGCCACAAAAGGAATCCATTTGTAATTATCCACAAAAGGATTCCTTTTGTAATCCGCCACAAAAGGAATCAACATGTAATCCTCTACAAAAGGATTACATTTGTAATCCGCCACAAAAGGAATCAATTTGTAAATCCGCCACAAAGGAATCAATGTGTAATCCTCTACACAAGGATTCCATTTGTAACCCGCCACAAAAGGACTCCTCTTGCAATCCGCCACACAAGGAATCAAGATGTAATCCGCTACCAAGGAACCAATGTGTAATCCGCAACAAAAGGAATCAACTTATAGTTCGCCACAAAAGGATTCCCTGTGTTACCCGCCACAAAAAAACTGTAATCCGCCACAAAAAGAATCAATGTCTAATCCGCCACGAAGAGGAGGACGATGACGAAGACAAGGTAGTCGCCATCTAAATGGGCCGAGAGAGTGGCCCACGGGAGTTCCACGCCTCTAAAGTGTACGGTATTGGAGGACATAGATTGTCGCACGAGTCGTGCCCCTCAGGGAGCTCCACCTGCGGCCCCAGATACAGGCTTGGCTAGCGTTCCCCCGCCCTTGTTGGCACACGCACCACAAGGATCGCGGCCCGCAAGGGGCTCCACCTACGTCCCCAGAGACAAGATTCGCATAGTGGCACGCCTTGCACACGGACCGTGCCCCGCAAATAGCTGCATTTGCGGCACCCGAGTGAAGCTTCATGGCGTCGCCCCGCTCATTTACGCACCCGTTCTCACACGGATCGTGGCCCGCAAGGAACTCCACGGACGGCCCTGAAGACAAGGTTCGCATCCCGCCCTGTCTACTTCGGCACGTCTCTCGCACGGATCGTGGCCCACAAGAATTTCCACTTACGGCCCCGAATGCAAGGTTCGCACTGTGCCCCCCCTCCCCCGGCCATTGCGGCACACCCCACCATCGCGCGGATCATGAGCCCACAGGGAGCGCCACGTAAAGCCTCAAAAATACACGGCTCGTACACCGCTCCCCCGCCCGTGGTCGGCAGACCCGTCACGCCGCGAACCATGCCCCAGAAGCAGCTCCACCTGTGGCACCAGTGGGCAACTCCGCGTGGCGGACCCCGGCCCATCTCGGAACATGCCTCGCACGGGTCGTGCCTGGAGGAGGTCCACCTGCGGCCTCAGTGGGGGGCGTTCGCGCGGGGGTATCCGAATTGTTCGGCACACCCTTCCCGCGGATCGTGCCCTCCAACAAAGTGTTCAGGAATTCAGCACTTCCATGCACGCGTGCTCCGCCGAAACAATCTTTCCACATTGCCCCACGGCGCGCAGTGTATGAAGAGAGACCCGCGCCCTGCGCTACACATGGCTGCATAGGGATGGGTCCGTCGTCAAACCAATTGCTTGCTTAGGGCCTTCGGTCGATTCCGCTACCATACCCGAGTTCTGGGCCAGAGGATCCTTGGATACCTAGAGTTCGGGGTCTCTTGGCATGCTTCTCGGGCGCCTCGTGAAGCGAGTGCTGAAGCCTCTTGTGGCCTCATGTGCAGGAGAGTCTACAATCGAAACGGTAAATCCGATCGGCGATCGACATTAATCGGATCGGCGGAAATCGACAACCGAGTCGGGAGGGGTCGGATCGGCGGGAATCCGCAGGCTAGTGGGCCTCCAGTGAGAACTGGGACATCAAGTCGGAATCCGAAATCGAATCGAATCGAAATCGGCAGCCATCAAAATCGAATCGAATCGAATCGGAGGAATCGAAATGAGCCCTGCATGCGGGCCATGCTTTCCTCACTTCTGACACGCGGCGCACCCCACAGCGGAGCACTGGCGGGCCCGCTGCGACGCCGCACCACCCCCGCCGGAGGGGCGAGGGGCCGCGCCGACCCGCGCCGGAGCGCGCCGCGAGCCAGACGGGCCGAAGAAGTCGTCGGCCTGCGCATCGCTCATGCCGTAGCCGAGCTCGAACCACAGGCCGTGCTGCTGCGCCGCGCTGAGCTCCGGGTCCCAGTCCTGCTGCTCCGGGCCCTCCTCCTTGCCGTCCGCGGGCTGCAGGGGGCGGGGCCAGCAGCGCCCGCTGGCGGGGCAGACGAGGAAGAACTCCTCGTTGGAGCCCATGCACGCGTCGCAGGGCTCGCCCTCGCAGCACACGTGGAGCCGGCCGCTGCCCTGGCACAGGAAGGCGTCCCCCTCGACCCCGACGCGGTGGAAGACGCACAGCTTCGTGCAGCAGTGGTCGAGCACGGCCTCGGCGGGCACGCGCACGCCGCGGCTCCGCAGCAGCTCCTCGCGGCACCGCCGCACGGCCTGCTGCAGGCCGAGCTCGCGGTCCAGGGCGGCGGCGGCCTCCGCCGCGGTCCTGCTGCACCCCTCCGCGCCCGAGGCCTCCGCCACGCTGAAGTCCAGCCAGTCCTCCTCGAGCGCGTCCTCGCCCCTGTGGCCGGCCGCCCAGCGCTCGCGGAAGAGGCTGCGCCACCGCGGGGCACGGTCGCCCGGGCCTGCGGCCCAGCGGCGCGCCAGCCGCGGCCAGGTGGCGCGGAAGTGGGCCTGCCAGACCACGTCGTCTCTGCCCAGGTCCCGCCAGGAGCGGCAGATCAAAGTGTCCGCCACGAACTCCCGCCAGGGCAGGAAAGACGCCACGCACAGCCTCACCTGGGGAAATCAAGAGGCACCGATGCCGCCACTCCCCGGACTTCTCCCGGGGTGCGTTCTGACTAGGATTTCGAGGCGAATCCTGCGGTGGCGACGAGGGCCGCCCAGGAGGCCCAAAAAGGAGAGAACGAGGGAAGGGTGGATGTATGCCCAGACATGCGACGTCCTGGTTTTTTCAGTGCGGCGTCCCCGAAGTCCCGACCCTTTCCCCATGGCTGGCTTTTCGTCCTGCGTCGTTTTTGGCGCTCCCGGGGGCCGGCGAGGGCCCCGGGAAAAACCTGCCCCCTGATTTTTGTACGACGCGATCATGTCTGGGGTGAGATGGCGCCCTGCAGTGCTCACGGCTCCGTCGACGCTAAGTGGGCGGAGCCCACTTAGCCCGGATCGTTAACCCCTCTAACCCACTCGGGGCACTTGTAACCCACTTATTAGCCAGGTAGGGCCAGATATGACCCACCTTGGCATCCACTTGTAACCCCCCCTATGCACTCAGAACACCCCACGATCATCCCAGTATGGGTACCTTTTCCAAATCTGCGACGTCCTGATTTGTTCAGGACGGCGTCCCTGGAAGTCCCGACCCCTTCCCCGGGACTGGCCTTTCGCCTCGAATCCTTTCTGTATCGGCCCCGAGGCCCGGCGAGGGCCCCTCGCGAGGCCGAAAGTGGCCCAAACCCCCCCGTCCTGATTTTTGTGACGACGCGATCATGTCTTTGGACTCCCGAAATTTGTACCGAAAAAATGGGTACCATGCCCAACAGCAAATGTTGTCCCAAACCAACAGCGGCCGCTGTTGGGCAGGCGGCCTCCTGTCTCGAATGGACACAGGCCGCGGCGGCGTGGACAGCGAGCCCTGTCCAAAATGAACCAGATCCGCTGTTGGGCATTGTGCCCATTCTTTCAATACCCCTTTCGTGCGTGCAGAATGTCTGGGCTGCATCCTCCGATCACCTCGACTGGCCACAGCACCAGGCCGCGGCCCAGCACGGCCGCTCCCGCGGCCCCGGCCCCGCCGTCGCCGCGGTCCCGCGGAGGCGCCTCGGGCACCTGGCGGGCGCCGCTCGTGCCCAGGGACGCCTCCAGGGCGTCCAGGAGGTCGTCGTCCTCGTCGAGGCTGCAGGGCGTCATCTCACCCCAGACATGCTCGCGTCGCTTAAAAAAAAAAAATCAAAAAAAAAAAAAAAAAAAAAAAAAAAAAAAAAAAAAAAAAAAAAAAAAAAAAAAAAAAAAAAACGGGCGGCACGATTTTCCCTATCTTCGACCCCTGGGGGCCCTCGCCGGCCTCCCGGAGCGTCCAAGAACGACTCAGGGTGAAGAGCCGGCCCCGGGCAGAGGGTCGGGACTTCCGGGGACGCCGCACTGAACAAATCAGGACGTCGCATGTCTGGGACTAAAGCACGTTCGTTTCCCCTTTTGGCGCTTGCCAGGTGATCTTTCGGCGAAGGCCTTTCAATGGAGCCTTGAGCCAACATGGATACGGATGGGCCAACAATGGCTACGGATGTGGCCTCATGTGGGCCATGTGGGGGCCTCTTGGGATAGCTTTTTGGGCCCTTGGGGGTCTCTTAGGTTCCTGATGCGGCTTCGGTGGCCCACTCGTGGTGGAGGGCTCGAAATGTGGGTTGGAGTTCCCCTCGCGGACTCCTCTTGGGGCCCTCTTGGGCCGTCTTGGGCGCCTCTTTGACCGTTTTGGGGCTATCTTGGGCCGTCCTGGGGCTCTCTTGGAAGCCTCTTGGGCCATCTTGGGGCGATCAGTGGGGCCTCTTGGGCCGTTCTGGAATATGCTAAGATGTGCCGTCCAACTTGGGGACGAAATACTTGGCCTCCTGGGGCCGTCTCTGGGCGCATCGTGGAGCCTTCGACGTCTTCGGGGCCTCCTGAGCCGTCTTGAAACAAGATTCGAACATCCTTCGATCTGTCAGGCAAGTCTGGTCGCTTCTCGGTGGCCTCCGGGAGGCCCTGGAAGGGGTCAAAAATGTAGTAGGGGAACTCCGGGAGGGTGTCCCGGCCCAGGCCCCGGGCCCCCAGTGCGCCGGCATATCTGCAGGGCGTCTGGGGGCCCTCACCAACACCCCGGCGCCCCTTGCTGCCCACTGCCCTGCGTTCCCCCGCTTTCCGAGGCGAGCCCGGCGCAGAGACTCTGGAATCCCTGTGCGTTGATGAAGAACCTGCTGCTCCTCCTTCCTCCTCCTTCCTCCTCCTCCTCCTCCTCCTCCCTCCTCCTTCCTCCTCCTCCTCATCGCCACCATCGCCCACTGGGTGGCGCGATTCGGTCACGCACCGCTCCAGTGAAGTGGTGACCCACACATGGCTTGAGCTGTAATGAAAGAGTGCCAATCACGCGGGTGGAGGCGAAACCTACGGCCCCAGAGGCAGGCAACGTTCACAAAAAATATCCCCCCACCAATTTCGGCACTGCCCTCTCGGATCGTGCCACCCCGTGAGCTCCACGCTCGGGTCCAGGGGCAAAGTTTGCATGGCGTCCCTCTCCCCCAATTCTGGCACACCCTGCACATGGATCGGATCGTGCTCCAGAGGAACGTAGTCTTACGTGCGGCCCGGGCGGGAGCAGTCGCGCAGCGTCACGCCCCCCCGTGTATGTTGACTGTCTCCCCACCACGAACCGTACCCCACTGGGAACTCCACCGAAAGCCCCAGGGCCAAGATCTGCATCCCGTCGCCCCGCACATGCCGGCACACCTCCTACCCGGATCGTGAGGTCGGGGCGTCTTGGGTGCCTCTCGGCGCGCGGGCTGCGGCGGCGCTGGGTCCTGGCTGCCCCTCTCCATCTTTCTCCTTCTCCTTCTGATCCTCCTCCTCCTCCTCCTCCTCCTCCTCCTCCTCCTCCTCCTCTTGCTCCTCCTCCTCCTCCTGGCCCTCCCATTGCTCCTCCTCTTCCCCTGTCCCCGTCTGCCCCCCGCCTGCGACGACTTGAGATATTCGAGTCTCAGGCTTAAGCCCGTGGGGACGGCGATGACGAGGGTGACGACGACGATGACAAGGGGGAGAAGGAGGAGTATGTAAAGTTCCATGGTGGGGCCATATTTTGGAATATTGTAGCGTGTTGGGAGCCTTTGGGTTCAAGCCTGGTATTCTGAGGCCCTCGTCGAGTTTCCTTGGGCCCTCCAGAAAGTATCTCTGGACAACTCGGTACTGTCGTGGCTATCGCGAGGACAGTGTGTGGAATCTTTGAGCCGGGGTGTTTCTCTAGTGGGGATTGTCTCGGGACCCTCGTGTGGCTTGCTTGGGGATGGCCTGGGGCCAGGTGTAAAGGCTGGGCAGTGAACATACCGCCATCGCGCCTGGGTTGTGGGTCAGAAGCCTTTTGGATGCATGTTCGGCTCTCTTGGGAAGCCTCTTTGGTGAGCGTCCTGGACAAAGTGGGCCTCTGAGGGGCCAGTTGGGGGCCTGTTGAAGTCATTTTGGGCGTCCTCGGGGAATATTGGGGGGCTTCTTGGGGGCCTGCTGGCGGTCTCGGGGGCCCCCTTGGGGCGGAGGGCTCGACGTGTGAGGTTGAATCCTCGTTTTTGGACCCCTCTAAATGCCCTGTCGGGGCTCGCATGGGCCGTTTTGGGCGTCTCGTGGGCCGTCTTCAGCCTCTCTTGGGCAGCCAATGTGGCCGTTTTGGGGAGATCTTATGGGAGCAGCTGGGCGTCTTGGACACTGTGAAGATCAAACTGGTGCATGTGTTGAAGTTCAACGTTTCCCCCCGGGAATGGGACGATTTGGGCATCTCGGGGCCCTCTTGGCAGACCTCTCGGAGCTGTCTCGGGGCGTCTTAGGAACCTCTGGAACCGCCGGGAGGTCATCTTGAGCGGTCCTCGGGCACCTCTGGGGCGCATTTGGGTGCTCTTGGCAGCCTCCTGGGCAGCCCGGAAGCCATCGTGGTCGCTCTTGGCTTGGAGCGCCCCAGGGGCTGTCTTGAGCGCCCGGGGGGCGGCCCAGGCCCCACTGCGGGGGGGACCCAGAGTGGGGCCTCGAGGTCGTGGTTTCTGGGCCGTGGTATGTATGTCCTGAAACATATGTATTGCATATATATACACGGTATGTTCGTTTGTTTGTATCAATGTACACTTACGTGTGTATGCATATATGTATATATATATATGTATGCATATGCATGTTTGTATGTGTGGATGAATGTATGTATCATGTATGCATGTACGCATACAGGCATACATGCAGGCATGCATTCATGATTGTATGTATGTATACATGCATGTCTGCGTGTATGAATGGGTGTAGGTGTATATCTATATATGTGTAGGTATGGATGGATGGGTGGATGGATGCATGTATGCATGTACGAATGTATGTATGTATGTGTTTGTGTCTGTGTATGTATGTATGTATGCATGTAAGTGTGCACGCACCGACGTGCGTACGTGTGCACGTATATATGTATGCATGTGGGTATAAAGGCATGCGTGTATATATTTGTATGTGTGGATGTGTGTGTGCACGCATACATGTGTACATGATTGTATGTATGTATGTATGTATGTATGCATATGTGAACGTATGTATGAATACACGCATGCATGTATGGATGTTTGCATGCATACATGTACACCTGCATGCTTATATGATTGTTTATACTCATGTGTGGATGCATGTATGTGAGCCAGTGCTTGTGTATGCGTGTATGTGTATATGCATGTATGCAGTTATGTATATGGACGTGTGCGTGTATGAGTGTATGAATGTGGGGGTATGTATGTGTGTATGCATGTGTATGCTGGTATGTCTGCACGGGCATCTGTGTACATGGCTGTATGTGCGTGTATAGGTGGGTGAATGTGTGTATGTTTTTACGAATGTGTGTAAGCATGTATGTATGCATGTATGGATGTATGCTTGTCTTTATGTATGGATGTATGCATGAAGGTGTGTACGTGGGTGCTGCTTGATGTGTACCTGTGCACGTCAGTACGTGCGTAGATGGGTGTGCGTATTGTTGTATGTATATATGTCGGTATGTGTGGATGGATGTCTAGCTGCTGGTATGGAAGTATGCATGCATGTATGTACGTACGTATGTGTTGATGGATGTATGGGTGTATGTATGAACGTATGTCGGTACGCAGGTATGCATGCATGTTTGCATAAGCATCAATCGGCATAGTGTATACTAGAACCATCGCGCGCGCTTCGCGCGTTCAGGTTCTCGTCTGGGACTTCGGAGCCCAGTCGTATCGGGTTCCTTCTTTCGAGCTGCATCGGGGCAGCCTTGCAGGCTGCTTGGGGCACGTCGGCCTCCCCGAGTGGCATGAGCACCTCGGCCTTGGAATCTCCACGGGCATCTGGGTCTTCGAATTGAGCTAGAGACCTAAGCCTCAGTATCCACATGGAGACCTTGGCTTCGGAAATTCCATGTGCTCATCATCAGGATCAGCAGTTGCATGGGCGGATTGCAAAAACAAAAAAAAAAACCTTTTGCAATCCTTAGCCTTGGAAGTTACATGGGCACCCCGGCGACGCTGGGGCCGCAGGGCAGAGGCGGGGCGAGGCAAAGCCAAGTATCCTCCTCCCTCCTCTTCCCCCCTCTTCGCCTCCACCTGGTCAGCCCTCCTCCTCCTCGTCACATCTTCCTTCTCCTCCTCCTCCTCCTGTTCCTCCTCCCCCTCGTCTTCCTCGTCCTCCTCCCACTCCTCGTTCCAGACCGCTGCATGAACATATACTTCCGGAGCCGCACAGGGCTTTCTCGGATCAGCGCCAGACCCCCTGGCGGCGCCTTCAGCGCCGCCCCTGGTGCGCTGCGCGCGCCAAAGATGTTATGGGCCTCCTGGGGCGTGTTGGAATCTCTCGGGGCCTCTTGGGTGGGCCATCCGTGCTTCCGAAAGCTTCTAGGCGGGCTGTTGGAGGGCACGGTCCGGAATCGTAAGTATCTTTTTGGGGGGAGGGCCCGAAGACGTTCTCGGGAGCGTCTCGGATGTAGTTGTTGCGCCTCTTGGGCCTCCTTGGCGCCTTTTCGGGCTCCCTATGGGACCTCCTAAGGGCCCTTGGGGTCCCTTGGCCTCTTGGGGGCGTCTTGGGGGCCTGTTGGCTGCCTCGGGCGTCATCTTGGGGCGCAGTGCTCGACATGTCAGTTCGGATTCCCTCTCTTGGGCCCCGCTTGTGACCTCCTGAGCTCTTGGGGCCTCTTGGGGCCTCTTGGGGGCGTCTTGGGAGCCTCAAGCGTTATCGTGGAGTGGAGGGCTCGAAATGTCAGCTCCGATTCCTTCCTGGGTCTCTCTTGGGGCTCTCTAGAGCTCCTCTAGTGATGTCTTGGGGCCCTCTTGGGCCATCTTGGGGCACGCTTGGGGGCGTCTTGGGCCGTCTTGGGGATGTCCAGGGGACCTCTCGGGCCGTCTTGGTCGCTGTGAAGACTCCTGAAGCGATCATGCCAGAAATAAGCGCTTCCCATGGGACGATGCTTGCCTCTTGGTGCTCTCTGGGGGGTCGTCGTGGACGCTTCTGGGAGGGGGTCCGGGGCCTCTGCAGCCATTCGAGACGCTCCGCGAATCGTCTGACTCTCGTGGAGATCGTCTTGGGGGCGACTCGGGGCCCTCTTGAGCAGCCCTGACGGCGGCCGGACCGCTGTGGAGGCTGATCTCGGGCTTCCAAGGATGTGGGCCCCGGGCCCCCAGTGCACACATGTGTGGTCGACGTCGTGGGCCCAGGGGCCCCCAGGCACGGTCCTCGGCGATGTCTTGTCAATCCGTATAGCTGTACATACGACGAGAAAAGGGGGGGAGAGAGAGAGAGAGAGAGAGAGACGGATAGAGAGAGAGAGAGAGACATCGATTGAGAGAGAGTGAAATGTATACAGTAAACGTGAGATGGCGTAGAAAGAGAGAGGGAGAGAGAGAGAGAGAGAAAGAGAGAGAGGATCTATATATATATATAGAGAGAGAGAGGCAAAGAGATACACACCACAACGCTACATCTAAGCAGGGAAGGAGAGAGGGAGAGAAAGAAAGAAAGAGAGAAAGAAAGAGAGCGGTAAGCCGCCACCGTGCCGCTGGGCACGGAGTGCGCGTGACCTCAGGTCCTTTCCGACCAGCCACAACTGGGGGAGCTGTGGTCCGTACCCCCCCTGGGGGAACCCATCGCATCGACGATCTCTCGAGAGGGGTGTCGAAATCGATGGCTCCCCCAGGGGGGTAAGGAACACAGCTCCCCCAGTTGTGGCTGGCCTGCCTCTGCCCAATCCCCTGAGCCGCAGCCCTCAGTTCTGGAAAGCAAGTGCGAGGCCCGGACCCAAATGTCCGAAATCTTCTGCGGCTTGTCGCGTGCCCCCTGGGCTTTGCCACGTGGTGGCGCGCGAGTTGTTCAGGCCCAAGAGGGCCCCTAAGACGGGTGAAGAGTGCCCCAGGAGGCCCCGAAGAGGGCCCCGGGCCCAAGATGGCCCCGAGTCGCCGACAGATCGGCCCAAGACGCCCAGGGTGGCCCCCAGAGGGCCCAAGAGGCCTCCAAGACGGCCCAAGAGGCCCCCAAGAGGCCCCCAAGAGGCCTCCCAAAAAGGCCCCAAGAGGCCAAATTCATTGATTGTCCTTAGGCTGTTGTTTCATTTTTTTGTCCCACTAGCTTTTCGGCTTACCGACGCTCCAAGACGACCCAATAGGCCTCGAAGACCGCCTCAACACGGCTCAAAACGCCCCCAAGACGGCCGAAGAAGGCCCCAAGACGGCCCAAAAGGCGCCAAAGACGGCCCAAGAGGGCCCCAAGACAACCCCCAAAGGGGCCCAGGCTAGGGAACACGAACCGACAATCCGAGCCTTCCGCCCCAAGAGGTCCCCAGGAGGCCCCAAGAGGCGCACAGGCCCCAGGAGGCCCCAGAGGCCCCCAAGAGGCCCCAAAGAGGCCCCAAGAGAATACAAAACGGCTCCCAAGAGGCGTCCAAACTGCCTCCAAGAGGCGCCCGAGAGTTCTGCCACAACCCAGGCACGGTGGCGGAATGGGCCGAATACCGTTTCATTGTGTTCTACATGTATACAAAAATAGGGGAGAAGGAGGGAGAGAGAGAGAGAGAGAGAGTGGAAGACAGAAAGAGAGAGCGAGGGAGAGACAGAGCGAAAGAAAGAACAAGAGAAATCTCGAACACAGGAAAAGGAAAGAAAGACGTACGCTCGAGGAACAAGGAACGTTTACCCACGCGGGACATTCACGGGAAGGCTTGGTGCAGGGGGTGGATGGGGGAGGGGGGCGAGAAACACGCGTTGGTAATGTAATGACTGCAGTGACACATCCACCCGCTACAATTCGGGACCATCAACTCCTAAAAAAACACCTTGCTAACAGCATTGGCGCTCATGCAAGCCTGGCCCCTTGGCAGAGAGCGTGCCCATGATCTTTTCCGCGTTGAACATAAGAGCACGGATGACGGGTTTCATCGGGCTGACCAGGTAGAATGCCTGCACATCACCCCATTGATGACCCTGACCGTTTCTCATTCTGCCAACTCCTGACTGCGGCCAGGCCCGAACGGCGACAGTGGCCCTCAGAGATAAAACATAGATTTAACTACTCCTTCTCCCCTCTCGCCCTCGGCTTCCCGCTCCTCCACCCTCCTCGTCCCCCCCTTTCTTCCCTCTTCGATTCGTGTCCGTTGCTGCAACCAGCAGGTAGCAGCAAACAGACGGACGGACAACACCATACCAAACACACTGTGGCGAGCTACGGCGGCAACTCACGCGATGATTCGCAACCCCCATGCCCACCTTATCCTCCGCCGCCTGGTGCCGCCAGGCGCATCCCACATCACCTCTGCCCGGACTGTCTCCCAGCGGCAATTTCCTCATCCCATCCTTTCCCCCATCCTCGGGTACGGGGACTCGGGTTGGCCTGACGGGGCCATCAGAAAAGATGGCGAGACCCGATCTGAAATGTGACGCGAACTCCCGCTGCAGACATCCCACGAACATCCGACCATCAACATCCAGGACGCGCTCGTCAAAAAACGTCGGCAAGGCTGAGTTCCGGCTTACTCGAGTCTCACGTTTCGCATCCTCTCCTCCACCTCCCTGGAGCACTTTCCAAGACGAGCGACGCCGAGGCGGATCGCCCCAGAGAGGAGAGAGTCCCCCCGCCCGCGCCAGCTGCCATCCGCTGACTGCCCATGTTCCCGCATGCTTACGTGCGTGATGCTGCAAACGCACGCTTAGGGACGAGAAGGTGGATTTCAAATGTCAAGCCTTGCTGGCAGGGTGCCAGCGGAGGACGCAAGAGTCGGACAAAGGAAACTCGATGAGTGAATGTACCATGGAAGCCGCTGAAAAGACCACCTAGGCCAGAACGCACAGGCTCGTAGTCGCACGCATCGCCGATGCATCGGCGATGTCGTAGCAAAGAATATCCGACTCCCAAGTTCGCGGCTTCGGGCAAACATCGGTGATGCGCCGTAATCCTCCGACACAGTTTACGGAAGCCTCAATGGGGCGGCCTGGAGAGGAGAAGAAGGAGGGTGTCAAGACAAGAGCACTTACAAGCGGAGGTCAAGTCAAAATCATTTACGGGCATGACGTCTGGGTCTTGCAAGATGAGTGGTGGCACTGCCGCCCTGAAAGTTACGCAGGTATTGTGGAAATGGCGGCTCTTTGTTGGGCATGATGAGCGCCTCCGTACCAGCGGCTTCGCTTGGGGACGCGGCTGACAAACGAACGGCCCTAACCACCCTCCAGGATCACGTGGCCCAAACTGCAAAACACTAGGATCGACGAGGAACAGGTGGAGCGGGCAATGGAAGACAACGACGACGAGGACGACCACCTGATGAAAGGCGATCCGGACGACCGCCTGATGAACGGCGATCCTCTCCGTCGGGGGGAGGTGCGTTACGGGACTGCTTTTCGACCTCCTTGTGCACTTGCTCCGAACCAGCTCGACCTCGCTTCGGCCCTGTCGTAGGGCCCCTGTCACCACCAATCGGCGGCGAGCGAGGGGTGGGAATGAGAAGGAGAAGGCCTTCTTAAAGGCGGCGGGACTTCTCAGAAGCCCTCGCCCCTGCTGAGAGGTTCTTCTACCTTCGGGGAAGGCTTAGAAAACTTCTCAGAAGGTCCGGGAACTTCCGAGACTTCTGAGGGGGCCCGCCCCATTCTCACTTACCCCCCTCGCTCGGCGCCGATCCCTGTCACCACCAACCTCCAGAGCCATGCTGTTCCCCGAAGTGCCATCGCCCTTCGCAAGGGTCTCTCGCCCCCCAAACCCCTTTGGCATCAGAGGCAACAACAACCCCGAGAGGAACGGGCCCTGGTCTCGACGGCTTTCCCAGGGTCCTCCTCCTCCTCCTCCTCCTCCTCCTCCTCCTCCTCCTCCTCCTCCTCCTCCTCCTCCTCCTCCCCCCCTCCTCCTCCTCCTCCCCCTCCTCCTCCTCCTCCTCCTCCTCCTCCTCCTCCTCCTCCTCCTCCTCCTCCTCCTCCTCCTCCTCCTCCCATAGGATCCAAGATTTCCATAGATGTGTTCAGGACTGGAATCTCACTGAGTTTCAGGACGCTCTCGACAGCTTAGAGGATTGCCCTGAGTTGTTCACCACCGTCGTGTCCCTCAAGGAGGGGCTGCACGAGATTAGAGTTGCCGCAGGTTTGTTGCACGTTGATTTCAGCGCTGGTGCCCTGAACCAGGCGCTGGCGATCCAGGTTCTGGACGAGCTGCTAGAGCACGTCACCAAGCTCCTGTATCAGGAGCAGGCGGCAGAGAACGCTGCAGACGGGAAGGCATGGAGGGATTGGGTTCAGGACAACATGAAGGGAGGAATGGGATGGGCTCACAGATGGACCAAGCGTTTGGAGGCCTGGAGGCCCTCGTCAGTTCCATTTAAGTCGCAGTATTCTGGCAGGCCCCAGCATATATTGCAGGTAGAAGCTGATCGTCTGGCAAAAATATGGCAGGTTTCCCAGGATACCCCACCACAGCTTGTTCCTGACAGAGATGATCGTATTGCCCTGGGCCCCATCAGCCCCAAGAGATTACGACAGGTTGCGAAAAGTTTTCCCCATGCCACTGCCTCTACCTGGGACGGTTTCCACCCTAGGCATTTCAGTATGTTGAATAATGAGCAGGCAGAGATTGTCTGCGAGTTTATCGGCCTGCTTGAAAAGATTGGACATATGCCAACCCAGCTCCAAGGTATCGTATCGACTCTTATGATGAAGTTGCAACAACATGATGCCCCAGCCAGCCAGCCTTCTTTCAGGTCCATTGGTATGCTTCCAGCTTTGTACAGAGTCTGGGCTAGGCTCAGGAGGTCAGCGGCCAGAGAGTGGGAGGCACACCACCGCAGGCCGTACCTTGCTCATCAGGCTGGTCACTCCATAGTGGAATTAGTATATAAACAATCCTTGGAATGCGAGTTCAATAGCTCTGACAAAGATCAACAATATAGTGCCCAAGTTCTCTACGATTTATCTAACTACTACGAACATGTTGATCGGCCATGTCTCGCTTACCGTGCTGTTGAATCAGGTTTTCCGTGTTGTTTATTGCGTATCATATTATCTCAATATGCCAGCGAACGCATAGTTGCACTACAAGATTGTGCAGTCAGTGTAGGCAAGCCTTGGAGGGGCATTGCCGCAGGATGCAGTTGGGCCACCTATCTTGTGCAAATGTATGTGCTCGCCCCGCTCGACGTGTGGACGCAGGCGCATTGTCATATCAGGCTCGCGATGTTTATAGATGATCTGCTGCTCCAGTGCCACGGCCGCAGTTACAGCCTCATCGTCAACCAGCTCAATATTGCTGCCAGGTCCATGGCAGACTGCATCATCAATGAGTTTAAGTGCCAGATCGCCAGCAAGAAAAGTCAGGTCCTGGCGTCCCAACAAGCCCTTCAGGATCAACTCAGGACGGCTCTCGGGCCTTTGGCAGGCCCGAACGCGGATAGGTCTGGACCTAACCTGGGATGTGAAACTGGGGCTGGACAGCCCCAACGCCGATGGAGAAAGCAGCGTAAGATTTCGGAGCGTCTTGACAAGATGCGTAAAAGACTTAACAGGGTTCGCATGCTCAAGAGAGCTGGGGGTAACACTCATAAGTTGTATAGGACTGGCCTCGAGGCGGCCACCACGTTCGGAGTCGAGGTGACTGGCACCAATGGCACGCAGTTGGAATCTGCTAGGTCGCAGTTTTTGGCTGCTGCGGGACCCCGTTGCCCGACGCGCAGCCGTAGTCTGGCCCTGCTCATCCTCAAGGACCCCTTGTGGAAAGCTGCCTTGGGCCCTGCCATTATGTGGCACCGCCTTGTCTGGGACGCCGCCACCCGCCCCCACCTTGCCGTGACCAGTCTCCAGCAGTTGCGTGTTTGGGCTGAGGCCATCCTCCCGAGAGTTGCAAAATCTTGGGGCTCCTCCAGGGGGCCCCTCAGTGCCGCGGTGCGTTCGCTTAAAAGGATCGGTTGGAAATTCCAGGGGCCATTTACTTTTGTGACCTCCTCAGGCATTGAGTACCCTCTCCCAGGACATCCCCCCGCTCTCCTCCGCAAGCTCATGGAGTTCGACTGGCACGGCCAGCTCGCTTCCAAGGCGGCCGAGAAGATCGGCCACCCGAACGCCCAGTTAGATGTGGTTGCTGCCCGTGCTGCTCTGTCATCGCCAGACCTCCTTGGCCACCAGAAGGGAACCCTCCTCGCCTCCCTCACTCAGAGTATATGGACTATGGACAGAGCCAAGGCAGCAGGATACGAAGTCGAGACTGGCTGCGAGTGCGGCCACCATTCGGACAACCTCGGCCACCGCATACTTTATTGCCCGAAGACTGAGAATCTCAGAGCCACTCATTTCTCGGCAGCGGAGCTTCAGAATTTAAGAGAGCCTCCTCCCCAGACCCTGCCCCACTACCTCGGTTTCCAGTTGGTCCCCGAGTATCGTGGTGAGAACCCTCCTGGTTCGGGCCTGGAGTTTGGGGAGTTTTGGTGTGCTCAGGAGGGGATCACCCCTCAGGAGGCTTTCAGCGAAGGGGAAGTGTATATAGATGGTAGTTGCACTAACCACGGTCACTATGTCTTCAACGCAGCAGGTTTCGCGGTTGTCTGTATGCGTAAAGGAGAAGCTTTTGCCCATTCCAGTGGCCGAGTCGGCCAGATGTTTTTACAAACCTCGGGAGCCGCGGAGCATTTGGCCGCTGTTGCGGCCAGTATTCTGTCTAGGGATGTTGAAGTCATTTACTCTGATTATAAAGGAGTTCTGTCTCTGCACCAAGGTACTGAGTACCCTCGGCACAACTTGTGGGCTGGGTGTAAGGTGTTGGCTGGCAGAGGCCAGTTCCCCCTCGGCCAGCGCTTGCGTAAGGTCAAGGCCCACCAAGATTTACAGGCCCTCTCAGAAGGCAGTGAAGAGCGACGGTTGGCCGAAGGTAATAGTGCTGCTGATCGTATTGCCAAGGCCGCCGCTTTTAAAGGAATGCAGCCCAGTGAAGCAGAGAAAAGCGATTCCACTGACAGTCGGAAGTTTCTCTTGCGATATTTGAAGTATGTTGCTCAGGCTCTGGGAGAGTGGCCCGCGATCGCCCCTCACCGTAACAAAGCCTTGGCCGCCCCAGAGAAGAGTTTGTCTCCCCCCTCGGGTGCCGCCTCTGCCCTTACGTCGTGGACGCCGCCGTCGTCGGTCGAGCCTCCCCCCCCTCCGCCTCCTCCTGAGCCCCACGAGGAGCCCAGAGAGCCCTTCAGGTACCACACGTGGGCTCTCATCCATCAGTACCATAGGTGCATCCTGTGTAGGGTGCAGACCAAGTCGTTCAAACAGCGGGGAGTTTTACAGGCCCAGCATTGCCCAGGCCACTCTAAGCAGCTTTCCGATCTTGTGCATGATAATAAAGGCCATGATTTGTTTTACTACGAGCACCTTGATCACCCGACGAGTATCTTGGTTTGCCATAAGTGTGGATCCTTCTCTGAGGGGTTGGGTCGAGGGCTCACTAGTGCGTGCAGCACTAGAGTGAGCCACCAAGGAGCGGCCACTCAGCTAGCCCGCGTCCAAGAGGGTCGAGATCCAAAGGGCACAAAGTCGTCCCAGATCGTTTTTAAGACCCCCGCTATTCCCCTGGCCCAGCTGGTGCGCGAGGAGCGTGCCAAGACCCAGGGAGAGGAGGCACAAAGCCCTCCATAGTCGGCCGCGCTCTCTCGCGGCGGACATCGAACAATCCCAAGCCGTGTGCGTGTCCTCCTCCTCCTCCTCCTCCTCCTCCTCTTCCTCCTCCTCCTCCCTCCTCCTCCTCCTCCTCCTCCTCCTCCTCCTCCTCCTCCTCCTCCTCCCGCTCCCCCCTCCTTTCTCCCTCCCCCCCTCCTCCTCCTCCTCCTCCTCCTCCCCTTCTCCTCCTCCTCCTCCTCCTCCTCCTCCTCCTCCTCCTCCCCTCCTCCTCCTCCTCCTCCTCCTCCTCCTCCTCCCTCCTCCTCCTCCTCCTCCTCCCCCTCCTCCTCCCGCTCCCCCTTCCCCCTTCTCACTTACTCCTCCTCCTCCTCCTCCCCTCCTCCTCCTCCTCCTCCTCCTCCGCAATTACACAATCTGAATACTACTCTCCCCTCTCCCCTCATGACGTCCAGAAGATATCCGGCCCCCCTCCGCGCACGGTTGTTTACACAGGATTCCCGGGAACTGGGTTTTCGCTAGTTTTTTTTCAAAAGGTCGATCACGCTCCCGCTGCACGGCTGGCCTCATTTCCGCGCTTCCGCTCGTCCCGAATCGTGTTCCCGCTGCAGCGCTGGCGTCATTTTTTCCAGCGCCATGCCACGGCATGGTTTTCGGTCCTTCCAAACAGGCCCGAGCTCCAGAAAAAAAACATCGGAAGTGATTACACATTCGGTGCCGGTTCGTTGATTTTTTGGGCCGCAGAAGCCCTCCCTCCTACTTTCGGGCGTCGCCACGCCATGCTATGTCATTGACCATGCTACGCGTTGATCTTCACCACCATGCTATGCCATGTAATGCTATGCCATGCTACGACATCCGATTGTGCGAATAGGGATGAGCTCTACGCCATGATAAGGGATGGGAGGGAGGGGTAGGACGTCAGATATGACGCGAACGCACCTAGCTTGTCCTCCTCTCCCTGCCTCTCCTCCTCCTCCTCCTCCTCCTCCTCATCCTCCTCCACCGCCTCCTCATCCTCCTCCTCCGCCTCCTCCTCCCCCTCGCTCCTCCTCCTCCTCCTCCTCCTCCTCCCTCCTCCCCTCCTCCTCCTCCTCCTGCTCCTCCCCCTCGCTCCTCCTCCTCCTCCTCCTCCTCCTCCTCCTCCTCCTCCTCGTCCTCGTCCTCCTCCTCCTCCTCCTCCTCCTCCTCCTCCTCCCTCCTCCCTCCTCCTCCTCCCCTCCTCCTCCTCCTCCTCCTCCTCCTCCTCCTCCTCCTCCTCCTCCTCCTCCTCCTCCTCTCCTCCTCCTCCTCCTCCTCCTCCTCTTCCTCCTCGTCCTCCTCGTCCTCCTCCTCCTCCTCCTCCTCTCCTCCTTCCTTCTTCTTCCTCCTCCTCCTGCTCCCCCTCCTCCTCCCCATCCTCCTCCCCCTCCCCCTCCCCTCCTCCTCCCCCTCCTCCTCCTCCTCCCCGTGAAAACTTCAGGACCCCGCTCTCTCAGGGATAGGCTCATCGATGCAGGACATGGAGATCGGGGCCGCCGAAGGGGATCGCAACCCCTCAGGCGCAGATCGCAAGGGGATTGCGCTATCATATCGCGCACCACCAGCGACGCCAGGACGCAGACTGGCGGGACACCATGGTGCTCTGAAAGACAAGGCGTTGTTGCCGATGCATTCTCGAGATCGTGGATGTGGGGATGGGCTGTCCTGTCTTCATCGCGCGCATGGTCCTATCTTGATGTATACAGCGACGTGAAATTCGCCACGACCCACAGTGCCTCCGTATCGCTTGCCCCGCACTGAAGCGTCTGGGGACCACATGTTTGTCTGGAAGCGCAACCCAGCAATCTGGACACGTCGACAGGGGTAGTGCGTCTCATGCCTGAGAAACTTCGGGAGTCTCACTTTTCCCCTCCAGCCGGTCGATCGCGTATCGGCGAGCCCCCCCCCGTCCTGCAGGGCTGGCTCGCTCCGCAACGCCCACACTTCGTCTCCGAGACCCTCCTCGGCCGCCTCCTTGTTGACCTCCTCGCACAGCTTGCTCGCCACCTGTGTCCGATCCACGATCTCCTCCCTGAGATGGATGAGGTCCCTCTCCAGCGCCTCGACCTGCGTGAGGATGGCTGAGCAGTCGTGCCCCCCGGCCGTTGCAGGAGGGGAGCAGGAAACCACATCTGAGCAGGTTTGTGGACGATCGGCTCCTATCGCATGCCTCGCTTCCCTGGGCGAGCACCCTCCATCTCTTGAGTTCTGCGGCGTGCGCCGCTCCCCTTGCCCGAGTTCTCATGTTCCTGTCCTCTGCTCTCTCTCTCTCTCGCTCTCTCTCGCTCTCTTGCACTCTCTCTCTCTCTCTCCCTCTCTCCCTCCCTCTCTCTCACACCCTCACACCCCCTCGCTCCATGCCTCACTCCAAGTTCGAGAACGGCCGGCCGGGAGATCGCGCGCAGCCCGCCGCAGCTCGGAGAGCCCGCTGCCTCCGCCCCCCCCCCCGTCCCGAGCCTGCGCCACCGCACCTGCCACGTTCGGGCCGCCGGGTGGCCGGCAGAGCGGGGGCACGCGACGGCGGAGGGCACGGGCTCCACGGGGTCACGGGATAGGGGAGGCTTACCAGCCTCGAACGTATCCCTATCCCTAAGATCGACACGCCACAAGGCGATGACAATCTCAGGCGTTCGCCCTCGAAAAATGAGGGGATCCCTGAGATCGGCATCTTGAGGAGGAGGTGCCCAGCATAGCGACAGGGATATGCTCCAGGCTGGTAAGAGGTTTCCGGGAGCACCGTGGCTGCAACCCGCGGCCGCACATGCCGAGGCTCTTCGGCTCCGCCACGTCGGCGGGACGAAAGCTTCGTCGGAAATTAAGAACAACTGGGATCACTTCAAGGAAGCCGAGGTCGTGGATAGCCTGGGATACCGGTTTCGAATGTAAAAACGCATGGGGCAATTGAGGCCGGGATGTGGGAGACAATGGGATCATTGCTTCTCACAAAAAATACCTCTGGGACAATTTCGGCCTGGGATCAAAAAGGCTCAGGATCCCAGGGTCGAATTATCCCGCCGATGGCAGGGGCCAGAAAGCTCTTCTTGATGGGATTATGCGGCGGGGATGGCGGGGCTGATGCTCTCTTGGTAAGTCCACGGCTCCTTGAAATTTCAAATGAACTTTTGTCCCGCCGGTGCATTCTGCTACACAGCGAACCTCAGCCCTGGCCACACAAGCGCACACCGCGTCTGTGTCCGAGAAGGAACTTTCCTGAAACGGGGCGCCCCATACACAGCGCCCGCTGCAAAGGGGGGCCAGGTTGCCTCAAGTAAGCGCCTCCCAGGCAGGAATCGAGAATGCAAGCTCCTGTGAAGGCGCGGGCGAAACATAACTTTCGGACTGGCAAAACTGTTTGCGAATGGGCACGTGCACGAAGCTAGTGTGAAAGATCTGAACCTCCGCGTTTTGTCAACTGTGCGGCGCATACACCCGCAAGCGCAGTGGAGCAGGGCCGTTTTTGCCGACATCGTAACTGTTCCACGACGTGGACCTCCGGAGGTCTCGACCCCTTCCAGGGGCCAGCCTTTCGCCCTGCGTAGCTTTCTCAGAGTAGCTGTTCCTGGGGGGGGGGGGCCCTGGAGGCCGCAGACTGCCAAAAGCCTCTCGTGCCGTGATCCTTTCCACGAAGCCAGGAGGTCTACAGTCGGACCTAGGGACATGAGACCCTCCATCGCCCAGGTCTTTCCACGAAGCCGAGGTCCCCCAAGAACACGGGACCCTCCCTCGCCCAGAACGCATAGAACATCCAAGGGTACCCTCCCCAGGATGCACAGGAGCATCCACCAAGCCCGAAGACCATTCGGGTGCCCTCCCCGAACCGGCCTCGCCCTTATACCCCTCGGTCCGACTGTATAGGGAGGTCGGAGGAGCCGCCCCTTGCATCGGTGCTCCTGGGCGGGGCCGCCCTTGACCTCCAACCTCGGCCTGCCCGCCACCGCCACATCCCCCCTGCTCTGAGCACAGGCCTCCCAGATGGGGTCCGAGCAGACAGGGTCGGAGGGTCGCGCCGCATCGCCGATGCATCGGCGACGCATCGACGACGCATCGTCGATGCATCTGCGACGTCGGCGATGCATCGGCGCCGTCGGCGTGAAGACTGTCGGACTCCACGTCGAGCCGCATCGCCGATGCATCAGCGACGCCGCGCGATCCTCCCACCCCATCAGCTCCGCCCCCATCGAGGAGGCCAAGACTTCCGCACCTTCCGCGCGGCAGGCTTCGCCGCGGCGTAGGCCGCGGCGGCCGCCGTTGCGGCCGCGGCGGCGGCCACTGCGCCGGGTGCGCCGCGCGGGAGGTGCGGCAAGTGGAGGCCGCAGCTCGCCGCCCCAGAATTCCGGCCGCCCGCCACGGGCCCGCGGGCGGCACGCCGCGGGATCTCTCTCTCTCTCTCCCGCGCGGGCGCGGCGGGGGCGCTGGACGCGGGCCGCGCGCCACGGGGCAGCGAGCGGCACGCCGGGCTCTGGTCCCGCGCAAGCGCGGGGGGAACGCTGGCGTCGCCGGCGACTGGCGGCGTGTGCCGCCTCTGCGCGGGGCACGCTTGCGACCCGAGCTCGTCGCCGGGCCGCGTCCGAGGCCAGAGGTGTGGCCCTGGCCCGGGTTGCCCCCCGCTTTCCGCGGGCAGCTTTCCGCGTTCCTCCTCCTCCTTCTCCTCCTCCTCCTCCTCCTCCTCCTCCGCCTCCTCCTCCTCCTCCTCCTCCTTCCTCCTCCTGGCCCTGGGTGCCCCCCGCTTTCCGCGGGGGGGGGGGGCGCGAGTGGCCTGCAGAGCACCGCTCGCGGGGCCTAGGGAGCTCCAGGGGCCCCAGAGGGCGCCACGGGCTGGGGGCAACAATGGGCCAGGGCAGCCCCTGGCAGTCCGCAAGCCTGTGTTCTTCGGCGACGGGTCCATGCGCACAAGCCCTCCGCAGGGCCCCGAACAGTTCCGCCACGCGGTCGCGCGAGGAGGCAGCACCGCAGGGCGATCGTTCTCATCGGCGAGGGGGTGTGGCACGGGCCACAGCAAAGAGTTAGCACGAGGAGAAGGCGGGGACCCTGGACCAGGGACTGGCTTCTCATCGCCAGTCGTTCCTGGACGGTCCTCTATGCCTCGAAACGGGACAGTCATCAGGACATCCTCTCCGTCAAGACCCCTTGTCTTCACGGTTCCAGCTCGCTGCAGGCAGAGTGCCACCAGCGCGCCGGACGTGCTCTCGAGCTCCCCTTTGCTCCGCCTCGCGAGCCCCTGGAGACCCCCTACAAACCTTCCTGGAGGCCACCTGACGGCCCCCTGGAGGCCTCCCTCCTCCCTCCTCCCTCCTCCCTCCTCCCTCCTCCCTCCGGCCCCCAAGGCACGGTGGCGGCCGACGCTGGAGGCCCCTGGATGCCAGAGCGCGCTTGTCGTGCCCGCCTGGTCTGCTCCACCTCTCCCTTGTCCCGCCCCGCGCCCCGCACCGCGCCCGGAAACCCTGAGTCGAGCAGGGACCGACCGTCCCGGTAGTCTTATAGGCCTACCACGGCATGTTCTCAGAACCCAATCGTGTTCTAAAAACCAAAACGATGCTCTTAGAACATAAGCCTTGCGTGTCAAAGCACGACCGTCCCAGCCAGAAATGTTCCAAGACCACTTCGTGGAAGCCACACAAGGTTCTCAGAACATTGCTTGGTAGGCCGATAGACACGCCGGGACGCTTCGCCACTGCTTGACAAACACGCTGCAATTTTCTTGGGGGCGCATCTTCTGCTTCCGCCGGCTTGCGCCGGCCTCCCGCTGGCGGAGCCGCCCCCGTGCTCTACTTTCTTCCCCCGCCATCCGCCGAGGACGAGACGGCAACTCCTGCGATCCTCGAGGGCGAGCCCCTAGCTGCAACGCCTCGATGGGGAGACGGAAAGGCACCGATACCGCTGCTCCCTGGACCTCTCCCAGGGTGCGTTCTGACCAAGATATCGAGGCGAGCCCGGCGATGGCGACGAGGGCCGCCCCTGAGGCCGAACAGAAAAAAGGAGAACCAGCAGAGGGCAGCGGTAGGGGTGCACCTATTCCTCCTCTGGCTACCCGGACGCCTCACTCTGGCGCCGTGCAGAAAGAAAAACACCGCCGCAGTCATCCACCCGATCTTTCTGCTCGGGGGCGGAGAATATATGGTCCAGGGTCTGGCCCCCCCCCCTCTCTCATGCTGGTGCCATCGGGCCCCCCTCCCCCCTCCCGCACGATGCCCCTCCCCCCTCCCCCCTGTGGGTGTGGTGTGGTGCTGTGGGTGTGGCGTGCTTGGCGTGCGTGATGATACTGTGGTGCTCCAAGGGAGCTCCGGAGGTCGTCGCCGTCGTCGCCGCCGCCGTCGTCGTCGTCGGAGGGCTCCGGAGGTCGGCGGCGGCGGCGGCGCCACCGCCGCCATGGTCGTCGTCGTCGTCGTCGCCGTCGTCGCCGTCGTCGTACCCGTCGCCGTCGCCGTCGCCGTCGTCGTCGTCGTCGTCGTCGTCGTCGTCGTCGTCGTTGTCGTTGTCGTCGTCGTCGTTGTTCACCCGCCCATCCCATCAGGGGGGGGGGGCGGCCGAGGGACCCCGAGACCCATCCCATCTGGGAGGGGGGGGGGGGGGCGTGGGCCTGGCGCCCTGGATAATATACGCCCGCGCGACGTCGATGCGGCACGACGAGGGTGCTGTCGGCCTCTCTGGGGCCCCAGGTGCTGCTGAGGACGCCGAAGCGCCGAAAGATTCGAAGGCTTCCCCCGAAACGAACCAGCCTCGAACAGATCCTTCTCTTCTGGACCGACGAGCCCGAGGCGATGGCAATCTTTGGGATGCGCCTTCAGAGACTGAGGGAATCCGCAAGGCAGACACCGAAACGAGGGTATGCCACTCCCAAGGACAGGGCCGTGTGTCAGGCTGATCATAGAACTCCGACCATGGCAGCCCCAGAGTCGGGCCGACGTTCCGGCGCCAGCGCCCACGCGAGCTGAGCCACGTTGGCCGCCGTCTCCAGCGCGGAAGCACTTCGACCGATCCTCCGGTCGGCGCTCCCCCGAATGCTCGAGACGGGCCGATCCGCGACAGCCCCTGGGCTCAACGCGGCACAGAGCAGACCGCCGCCGTGCTTCTCTCACGACGTCTGCAGTACAAGACTGGGATTTGTTTCAAGAACCGTTCGGAGGCGCGCGCGGATTTCTCAGGCCGGCGCTGCACTCCCCTTTCCCGGCGCGCCTCCAGCGCGCAGGGGCGTCGCTAGCGGCGCCGCCTCAGGGAGGCCCAGCGCCGACCCAAGAAAACCCGAGCGGACCCCCGAGCTGGGAGGGCAAAAACGGCACGGTGGGGGCATTGGACAAGGACCCCTTCGATACGGAATCCAGGGCCTGGAAGCCCGCGGAACTCCGACCTAGGAGTGGCCACGGGTATCACCGCCGCCCTCCTCAGATGAGGAATCCTCCAGGGTCTGGCGCCTCCCGGGACCAGTCCTTCACCAACGCCCCCAGCGTACCAGTGACACGCCGCCGTGCGGCACCCACCAGCGCCCTGCCGTTGAAGACGCACTCTGCCCGCGGACATCTGCGAGCGGAGTGAGACGCCGACGGCCTTCCCGGGCCGGCGTGTCGCGGACGCTCGGCCCCCCCTCTCGAGGCACGCTGCACCCCTCTCTGAGGCGCGCCGCTCTTCGAGGGCAGCTCTGCTCGCGCCCGCAGCCGCGCAGCGGCGGCCCAGGTCGGTCGGTGGGGGGGGGCGGGGACGGCCTGGGAGGTCTCGGCGGCCTCCGCTCTGGCCTGGAAGGCCTCCTCCTGGAGGGCCGCGGCAGGGGCTCCGAGTCGCCCCTCCGCTCGGATCTGCGGCTCCCTGCCCTCGCCCTCGCTCCTCGCCGTCGACGAGGCCATCCGTATATCCGTGTTCTCCAGGCCTGGACGCTGAGGCTCGACCCCACGGGCACGCGAGGCCACGAGCACGATCCGCGCGGGGGGCATCCGCGCAAAGCTGCCCTGCAACCAGGGGGCCGCGGCCATGTTCAGAGCGCGGAGCCCCTCCTCCGCGTACCTCCCTGCTCAGAGTGAAGAAAGTCTGAGGCTAAGAGACTGGGCTTCGCTCGAAGCGGGTTCTCAACCAACAGCCAAGGTCTACATATATGATCATCCGAATCACGAAGAAGAGAAGCTCCGAGAGAAAACGCCCAGGGTGTCCAGTGGTGCTTCCTGACTTGAATCCAGAGAAAACCCTGGAGTCCATGGAATGCACTGCCTTTTTCCTCGGATCTCTGATGGGTGAACCCCTGCCCCGCCCCGCCGATCTCTATCGCCACCTGCCCACGCGTGCGCGGGCCGCCTGCCTCGCCGCGCAGCACGTGCGCGCGTGCGAAGTGAAGTTCGCGCTGCTTCGAAGGGCTGTGGCCCAGCGCAGGCGGCGGGAAAAGGCGGAGGCTGAGATACGGTCAGCCGGTATGAGAAGGGAGCGCGGTAGGGATGCAGGGGCCTTGGAGGGCCATGTCGACACCCTGCGACCAGGGCTCGGCCAGCGAAGGCGGCCGAGGAGGGGCAGAGGGGGCGGGATGCAAGGGGAAGCCCTGGAAAGCTGCCCGTCCCTGCGACAGAATAGTTAACACCCCGCAAGAGCAGGAGAGACCCTCCGCAGGCCGGACAGGGGGAACCTTCCGCGGTGCCACCCCCCGGGAGGCACGAGAACATCCCACAGACACGGGGAACGTCAGGGTCCCCCCCCGAAGCGACCTCGATAGCGACTTCGCCTCGATCCGACCGTCGCCTCCATGGTGCTGCGATCGGGGCGGAACAGAGGCCCCTTCAGCAGAGCACCCTTTGGCGAACCCGGCCCGAGGACCAAAGCCCGCTGTCGCAGGCCTGAACATCTGCGGGCGCAGCACCCTCTCGGGAAGCCAGGCGGGTGCCAGTCGCCGGTCGACTCGGCAGGGTGGGGGCTCCGTCGATCTCTGCGAGCCGAGCAGCGACGGGCCCCACGCCGGCCACGAGGCGATCGTGCCCGCCACTGTGCACTGCCGGTGCTCCAGGAGTGCCTTGCCGAGACCTGCGTGCTTGAAGGAGGCTGGAGATGCTGCAGGCTGCCCCTATGAAATTTGGGCTGCAGCATCTCAATTTTCGGGGGCGCGCAAACATGGATTAGCGATCCATGGATTTGGTGCGCGGTCGCCAAATCCATGGATCGGGGGAGGTGCCCTCCCCAAAATGCGGCTGGTGCCGCCCCATTCGGCGGCGAAAATCCGCGATTCCCAATGGCAACGGGACCCGTCGCTAATCCACGCCCCCTTGATCCATGTTTGCGATCGCATGATTCATGGTGCGCAGTCGAGGGTTGCGGTGTGTATACCATCACTGCAGGACATCCGCCCCACCACCTCTCTGCGCGCAGGTGGTTCACAGAGCCTCCTCGCCCAACGCCCCCCCTGCCCCCTATGAGTGTTTACCCACCGGCCGGAAGAAGCAGGCAGAAGCAGGAAGCAGGAAGGCGCTGGAAGCAGGCTGGGCTTCCGCCCGCCCCTCAAAAGATGCAGGAAAAGGGACCGGTGCTGGCGAATTGAAGGAGGAAGGCGCCCAAAGTAGATGGGGATCTGGGAATCCAAAAGCACCCACTTTCAACGACCGATGGGTACCCTCTTCCCCCGCCCTACCAGCCCCTACCCGAGTCCTCCAGGCACGGGCCCTCTGGAGGCCGAACGTAGCAAGCACCTTCCGTCGTGTGTTCTTCGCGGCGCGACGAAAAACACGAGGAGGGGAAGGAGGAGGAGGAGAAGGAGGAGGAGGAGAGGGAGGAGGAGGAGGAGGGGGAGGAGGAGCACCAGAGTAGCCTCAAGATGCATCAGCGATGCTGCATTACCTTCTCCAGCGCACCGAGACTCGGGCGAACCTGCGGAGTGAACCTTGCCACACACGCACACACCGTTTTCTGGAACCCAGCGGCTGCACATTCGCTCGCGGAGTGCAGTTCCAGGGATGCGCCGTGTGTCGCACCATCCTCAGGCATGTCACGCGGCGGCCCACCGACGGGGGTCGTTTACTTACGTCGCAGCCTACCATGCAACGCCATGTATCGTCTCGCGTTTCTTCTTAAGGAGCATTTGCTGAAAGGGTGGCGGACAAGAACCCTTCCGCCGTGCTCTCTTCGCGGCGCGACGGCGGCCTCGGGGCGAACCAAACCCTGGCGAACCGAGACTCGGGTTAGGTCGGGCATGTCCTCCTACAGGCGGATTTTGGGCGAAAAATGAACAAGAACCCCAACATTTCCAGAACTGCACAGAACTCACAGACACATCGTGCCCATACTATTTTGGGACTCGTCTTGAACACTCCTCCTGTAGAGGGGCGTGCCCGACTTGAGACTCGGGCGAACCCGCCGGCAGCGGTGCTCCCCGCCGCCTCCCCGCCGCGTGCCCTCCCGGCCGCCTCCCCGCCGCGTGCCCTCCCGGCCGCCCGCCGCCCTCCCGCGTTCCGCCGGCGGACCCGCCGCCGTGTTTGAGGGGGCCCAGGGACACACGGACACATGAGCACAACTCCCAGGATTTTCCGGGTTTTGCGCACTTGTTCTGATGCTCGTCTTCCCCTCCACTTCCCATCGTTTCCCGTATTCGCCTGGGGGTCGACGCTTCGTCGTGTCTCTGTGTGTTGTGTGTGTTGTGTGTGTTGTGTGTGTTGTGTGTGTGTTGTGTGTTGTGTGTTTTGTGTTGTGTGTTGTGTGTTGTGTGTTGTGTGTGTTGTGTGTGTTGTGTGTGTGTGTTGTGTGTGTGTTGTGTGTGTTGTGTGTGTGTTGTGTGTGTTGTGTGTGTTGTGTGTTGTGTGTGTTGTGTGTGTTGTGTATGTTGTGTGTGTTGTGTGTGTTGTGTGTGTTGTGTGTGTTGTGTGTGTGTTGTGTGTGTGTGTTGTGTGTGTTGTGTGTGTTGTGTGTGTTGTGTGTGTTGTGTGTGTTGTGTGTGTTGTGTGTGTTGTGTGTGTTGTGTGTGTGTGTGTTTTGTCCCCTCCTGAGTTGTTCCTGCCGCCCGCGGCTCTTGCCGAGGGCGCGGGCGCGCTGGAGGCGCCGGGGCGTTCCCTGGAACGCCGCACGGGCGTGCGCGGAGCTGCCGAGCATGCCCCGCGCGCAGCAGCGGGCGCCGGCGCCGCAGGGGGTGCGCGGGGAAGGGTCGGATCCCCGGACCCCCTCGAGCCACGGAAAGCTCACTCGGGGGCGGCCAAGAAGGGGGCGTCCAAGAAGGGGTGGCGCAGATCATGGCTGGCGGCACGTGCGCGGCCCAGGGGGGGAAGGCGGGGACGTTATGAAACAAGAAGAGGCGCCATGAGATCTGAGGAAACATCATGGCCCACGCTATGATGTCCACCCTCCCCTAGTCATCACCCCCCTCTTTGCCGCCCCCGGCTCGCGACGGAAGTCGTTCTGCTGTTTTCGGCCTCTGGGGGCCCTTACCGGGCTTCGGGACCGTCACGCGGGGACCCGGGGTGAAGAACTGATCCCAGAGCATGGGCCGAGACCTCTGGGGCCCGGCGCTATGAATGAAACATGACGTCGGGGTCTGGGTCCAGGGCCGGCGGAGAAACCGCCCGTGGGCGTGAACAAGGTTCTACGTCTGCGCGGCTCTCAGGCTGTCCAAGGAAGCGCAAACACAGCATCACCCCCCATCAAGGAGGGGGGAGGACATCTGGATGTCTGCCTCGTTCTCCTGCTCCTCCTCCTCCGCCAGCTTCTCCTCCTCCCTCCTCCTCCTCCTCCTCCTCCTCCTTCTCCTCCTCCTCATAGCTTCTGGAAGTTTGCCAACCATGAGGTGGGGCTTGTGCTCCTCCTCCTCCTCCTCCTCCTCCTCCTCCCTCCTCCTCCTCCCTCCTCCTCCTCCCTCCTCCTCCTCTCTCCTCCTCCTCCTCCTCCTCCTCCTCCTCCTCCTCCTTCTCCTCCTCCTCCTCCTCCTCTTCCTCTTCCTCCTCCTCCTCCGTCTTCTCCTCCTCCTCCTCCTCCTCCTCCGCCTCCTCCTTCCTCCTCTCCTCCCTCCTCCTCATCCTCCTCCTTTTCCTCCTCCTCCTACTCCTCCTCCTCCTCTCCTCCTCCTCGTCCTCCTCCTCCTCCTCCTTCCTCCTCGCTCCCCCAGGCGCGGTCTCCTTCGTGATCGTTTTCGACGGTGCGGGCGACTTCGACGGCTTCCTCGAAGCGGTGCCCATTGCCTGACGGCGAAGGCGGGAGGAGGAGAGAGGGAGGAGGAGGAGGAGGAAGAGGAGGAGGAGGAGGAAGAGGAGGAGGAGGAGGAGGAGGAGGAGGAGGAGGAGGAGGAGAAGGAAGAAGAGGGGAGGAGGAAGAGGGGCATGGGAGGGGAGAGGGGAAAGGGGTGGAGACAGGGGGGGGAGGAGGATTCGATGAGGCAGCACTCGGGAAAATGGACTGGCCTCGGCCGCCAGATATGGGCAGGTGGATGGGTAGAGGAAGAGGACGTGGAGGGCAGAAGTGGGCAGAAATGATGCGGATGAGAGGGGGAGAAGGTCTCAGGAGGTCCCTGGGCGACTGCAGCAGCCCTGAAGGCCTCCTGAGACCCTCGCGAAGCAGGTCCCCGAGGGCCTCCTGCGACCCCCGCGGAGGTCCCTCGAGCCCACTGGACTCGCCAGAACGGCCGAGCGCACTCCAAACAGCTAGGTCTTCAGACCTCGAGGACCAACGAGCCTCTGCGGGCGCGTCCTCGTCGCGGGAAGGGGGCGGAGGAGGCGGAGGAGGAGGAGGAGAAGGGGGAGGAGGAGGGGGAGGAGGAGGAGGAGGAGGAGGAGGAGGAGGAGAGGAGGTGAGGGAGGGAGGGGAGGAGGAGGAGGAGGAGGAGGAGGAGGAGGAGGAGGAGGAGGAGGAGGAGGAGGAGGAGGAGGGGGCGGAGGAGAAGGTCGCGGAGGGTCCTCGACGAGCAGGACAGGGCGGAGAAGGAGCCTCTGCGGGCGCGTCCTCTGGGCAGGAAGGGGGCTGGCCCTGGCGGAGACGGGCACTGGACCCCCGAGGGGGGCGCTGCCCCGAGCCGTCTCTCGAAGGCCCAGGGCCGCGGGGACCAAAACCTCCCCCCCCCCGCCCCAGCGAGGCCGAGAGCGGCACGGCAGGCCTCGGGGGGAGAGCCCGCCTCACCAGCGGCCCTCGAGGGCCCGCGAGAAGAGCGAGGACGGGGCCGACCCAGACAACCGGCGGTCGTGACTCGCCTCGCGGCGTGGCTCCCCAGATCTCTGGACCCCTTCCCGAGGGCCCGTCCGCCTTCCTGAGGCGCGTCTTGCTCGACGGTCGCAGGGGCCTGGGCCTGGTGACGGCCCCCCCTGCAACTTGCTTCGCAACGTGGAGCCCTGGACCTCTTTCCCGGGGCGGGCCCATCGTCCTGAGTCGTACTTTATTCGGCCAGGGGAACGAGCAGCGGCTTAGAAGCAGAAACTTCTGGATGTCCGCGTGAGTCTCTTGGATCTGCGCTGGGTCCCCCTCCCCCCTCCCTGGCGCGCGGAGCGCGCCAGGAGCGGCGTCGGAGGCGTCGCCAGGGGCATCCAGCGCAGATCCAAGAGATCCGTGCGGAGCTCCGACAGTTAATGTGCACTCCATTTCTCTGTTCTTCGACCGCCGGTCCAAGCGACGGGGACACGCCCCCCAAAAGGCCGAACACGGCCAAGAACCTCCGCCGTGATTTCTTCATCAACTGAGGATGCCTGACCTCCGCCCCCCAGAGGACCCCGCCCCCTCGCGCTATACCCTCCACTCGCCCCCGGAAGGGCGCGCTGCCGGCGCGCGGGGGAAGAGGCGCATACTCTGCAGAAGGCATCCGTGACTCTAGGCCAATCGCCCCATCCGCCCATGCCCGCCCGACCCCCCCCCTGGCCCACCCAGCTTGGTATACTGTACCCGCCCTCCTAACGCAGGGCGGGGGTACATCAGTGACGCTCGGACTGGCAGACGGCAAGTCACAGCGGACGACAGTCAACGCGCCTAGTAAGGACGCGCGCCTTCATCTAGGGTACCCTCGCGAAATTGCCTCTGCGTCCCGTCCTGAACCGTTTCAACGGGTCGCCCGCTGCCCAAACGATCCCAACTTCGGCCTCAAAGGGTCCTGCGTCCTTGCCACCCGTCCTTAATACACGTTTTGAATATAGACGCCATCCCACTTCTGAGCCAAAGCCAACTAGAATCGGCCTCGAGATCGAGCGGCCACGGACCTCGAGGCCAGGAGGAAGAGGATTGGACACGGGAGGATCTGGGAGGAGCTGATGCCCTCCGACCGCCCTCCATGTTGTGCTCGAGCCTCTCCAAGGAGACTTCGCGGGGAGGATTAGGAAGGTTTGATCACTACGGTCAGCCCGCAAATAAGGACGCGCGATGAGGATGCAAGGGCCTTGGCCATGACGACACTTTGCGAGCGGAGCGCGGCCAGCGAAAGCGGTCAACGATGGGCCGAAGGGCAAGGATGGAGGATTAACTTTGGAAAGTTGCTCGTCCTGACTGCGCGGGTTGACTGCACCCGGTCCTCACGCACACTGAAAATTAGTGAACGAAGAACGGTATAAGATACATGTTTCCGTCACCAGGGGCGCCTGTCCCCGGGCGGCTGGGAAGTTTGTACCCCGATGTGCCATCGTAAAGGTATACACTTTCCAGCCGCCCTGGGGCAGGCGCATCCGATCGCGAGCAAGTTGATTTCAAACCGCTCCTCGCCCGTTAAGAACAAGTGGAGGAAGGATCGACGAAGGAGGGAGGGGGTCGGAATGGCCTTTCCGAAAAGGGTGCGGGCATTCACAACAGGCACCACCGTGCTTGTCCAGGGTCCCCCTGGGGCCCTGGCATTACTGTGGCTGTTTTGTTTGGGGGGGTTCTTTAAAAACAAATCAGGGCGGGTGAACAACCTTCTGATTGAGCCTGCCCCCGTGCACCGTCCTGCGGCCCAGGATGGCCCTACCAGGCACGGTGTCGGGCCAGAAACACCATGCGCCCAGCGGTGCCGATAGGCATTGCGCCACACGTAGCGTGCAGACACGGAGCTCAACACGCAGACTCAGAACGCGAGCATGCTGCGACACCTTCGCCAAGGAGCGCGAGCCGATACGCGCTGAGAGCCCGCACGCGAAAAGTATGGGCGCGGACGTTTTTGGAGCACACGGCGCGTGCTGCGCCCCCAAAGCGGGCGCAGCGAAGCAGCCAAGACGAGCGTGCGGAGCCCGTGGCCCGAGGCGATGTCTCGCCCGTGCGTGCGACGCGCGGTCGGCTGTGCGCAGGGAGTGCGCCGCGAGAACTTTCGGATCGCCGCGCGCGGCGCGACGGCAGCGGCGTGCTCGTGCTCGGGTCTGGCCCCGCGGAGGGGGGAAACGATTCACTCTTTCTGTTGCTCGGTCGCGCTCTGCTTGTTCTGCGCCTCTGCTCTTTCTCTGCGTCGTTCCATCGCTCTCTCGGGTGCGCCCATGGGGGGCGGGCATCATGGCCCGAGGCATGTGAACGGACGAGGAGGGGCCCGGGAACGCACCGAAAGGAGAGGAGGGGCCCTTGAGACCAAGTGCTTGGGGTGGAATATGAATCGAGGGGTGGGCGACTAACCGTCCGATGGAGCTTGCCCATCCCCCCCACATCCTCCACATCCTTCTCCTCCTCCTCCTCCTCCTCCTTCTCCTCCCCTCCAACTTCTCCTCCTCATCCTCCAGCCCCCCCTCCACTCGTTCCGACAGCACGTGCCCAACCCCCCCAAGCGGATCCTGGGGGGGGGGGGGGCGATTATTGCCCCATCCAGAGTAGGTATTTTGATGGCCCGGTCCAATGGTTTCCACCAGCCCCAGTCCTCACGCCCCTCCTAGAAGCCAACGATCTTGCGTGCAGCCGACTCGTAGGGAACGCGAAGCGGTGCGGTGACAGACCGTGCGGTGACCTCGGAATCCCCAAAGACCTATGCGCCCGGTCCGTCACTGCACGGTGTTGCGACCTTGGGGGCCCCAGTCGCCCGAGACATCCTCGGAGAACGAATGAAATCCCCAAACCGCGATGTCACCCTGAATCCCCGCTGACGAACCCCAGGGTGTGGTCACCACACCGTCTGGGGGCCCCCGAGACCCCCCCCCCCGCGACCAGGACGAGGGCGCCCAGGACGTCGACGCAAGAGGTGCGACGCCGAAGAGGGCGGGGCACTCCCCAAAGCGCACGCAGCCGGGGTGGAGGAGGGAGCAGCGGAGCCAACATCCCACTCACGTCAAGTGGATTAGGGCATTTGTTCTTCCACCCCGTCCCTCTCTTCGCTTTCAGGGAGAGGTGTATCACTCGACCGGGGACAGACCAGGAAGAATGTCAACAACCCCCCATTACCCATGACTCCTTTCAAAGAGCTGTGCGAAATACACTGTGCGGCGCCCCACGATCACCGAATCATGTTCGGCGCCCCGCGATCACTTTGGGTTGCTGTTTGCAAGGGGCGGCGTGGGGACATCGTATTCCCCGCTGTGCGCCAGCCCATCATCCCTGTCAAAAGCCCAGGCACACACAGCACGCAGTGCTGGTACTCGTTTCTGGCAGAGCTGGTGGGGAGGTCGACGTATTCCTCGATGCGTGGTGTAACGTGTGTTGGCGCCCCTGGCGCACTCTGCGCGCAACGCGAACGTGGCGTACCTGGCGCGGTCGAAACACGTGACGGACTGGGCGCATTCGGAGCACGGGTCGCATCTGGTGCACCAGGCGCGCCTGGCACGCTTGGGCCCCTGTGGCTCCTGGCGCAACTGGCGCGGATGGCGCATCAGGCACGCGCGGCGCACCCCGCGGGCGTCGCGCACCTGGCTGGCGTCCGCGTTGGTTCCCGATGGTTGTCGATGGCGGCCTCTGCTGAGACCTGGGTGCTATTCACTTACGCTGTGGGATGGCGGGTTGGAGTGAGCGAGACAACTTGCGGCGTTTTCTCTGAACTTTATTTCTTAATCCTTCGTCGTCCGCCACCGTGCCTCGAGGCTGGAGTTGGAGTGTCCTAAGGTCCTTTGAGCCCTCAACCCTGAGACTTGGTACAGTAGGAGCTCGACCACAAGAAACCTTCCACAAAAAACCCAACCCTGAGACGCCAGGACGTCTCCTCATTATTCTCCTCCTCCTCCTCCTTCGAGAGAGCGGCCGAAGCGGCGAACATCCGCAGGACCTCTGCCAAGGCAGCAAGGATACTCATTATGATGCTTTGTGAACGAGCTGCTGAGTAGGGTCTCATCTACAGGAGTTGGGCTGTAAAGTTACACAGCACCTTCCTGCACCAAGGCGCTCTCTTAAGACTTGACGGCCCCACTACGGGCGAAAGAAAGTGTTGGCCTGCATCCCCCAGGACCCCTCCTCAAGGAGGCAATCCCCTGAACACGCGCCACTCGCGCAACGCCCCGCACCGCCCCAAGCATCCGAGGGCCTGACAATGTTTTCAATGCCCGGCCCCAGAAATCCTGACTCCTTTCCCCGGGGCTGATGCTTCGTCCGGGATCCGATGTTGCTCGTCGCTGTCGGTGTCTGCACGGCGTCTCCTTGTTTCCGAGCTTCGCCTCCGGCCACGGAACTTGTTGTTTAACAAATTTGCCAACGCACCTCTGACATGCACGGCTCGTCTCTCTCTCTCTCTCTCTCTTTCTGTCTCTCGCTCTCTCCCCTCGATGTCGAAATCGAGGAAATCCGTGCAGATTGAAAACTCAGGTCGCCAGGCCGCCGGAATCGGGTGCGCGAAAGCACGCGCTAAGTCGGGCCTGCGCCACTACAGGAGGAGCATTCAAAAGTAGATACAAAAATAGTCGGGGGACAATTGTTGTACTATTTTTGTATGTTTTTGCCTATTAAAAGTTTGTCGTCCAAAATCTGCCTGTAGGAGACATGCCCGATCTAAAACACGCGTCACGCTCCAGCGCGGGCGAGCGCACAGACAGCGCGCCCGGGCACCATGCACACCCGCGAGCGCGAGCACGAGCCCGACACATCGGGCGCCTCGGTTTTCTCGAGGCACGGGCCCCCGACCTCTCGACCAGGAGGAGGAGGAGGAGGAGGAGGAGAAGGAGGAGGAGGAGGAGGAGGAGGAAGGAGGGAGGAGAGAGGAGGAAGGAGGAGGATTCCCCAGGACCGGGTTTTTGTCCCGAGTAGTTTTTTCTTGGCGGTCCCGAAGCCCGGCAAGGGGCCCGAGAGGCCGAAACCTATGAAAACAAGCCCGTCCCTTGTTTCCCAACCCTTCTGTGCTGGGTTCTCGTTTTGAAAAGAACACTGTGGCCTCCGCCTCCTCCCTGCCTCCTCCTGTGCTGCTCCCTGGGGGGGGGACTGCGAACTGCGTAACGTCACCACTTTCGTGGGTTCCTGGGAGGCCCAGCGGAGTAGGGGAGTACGCACACACAGCCGAGACCTCGCAGCTCCCTGGCGGGGCTGCGAACTGCGCAACTGTCGCCACTTCCGCAATCCGCTGGGAGGTCCAGCGGAGTCGAGGAGTGAGTACGCGCACCCAGCCAAGACCTCGCAGCTCCCTGGGAGGGGCCGCACAGTGCGCAACTGTCGCCACTTTTGCGGGCTCCTGGGCGGCACGGCGGAGTAGGGGAGCACACGCACCCAGCCAAGACCTCGCATCTCCCTGGGGGTGGCTGCACAGTGCGCAACTATCGCCACTTCTGTGGGCTCCTGGGCGGCACGGCGGAATACGGGAGTACGCGCACCCAGCAAAGACCTCGCAGCTCCTGGGGGGGGGGAGGGCTGCACAGTGCGCAACCGTCGCCACTTTTGTGGGCTCCTGCGCGGCTGGCACGGGAGAGTACGGGAGTACGCACACCCAGCCAAGACCTCGCATCTCCCTGGGGGGCTGCGAAGTGTGAGATTGTCGCCGATTTCGTGGGCTCCTGGGAGGCACGGCGGAGTACGGGAGCACGCGCACCCAGCCAAGACCTCGCAGCTCCTGGGGGGGGGGCTGCACAGTGCGCAACCGTCGCCACTTTTGTGGGTTTTGGGCGGCACGGCGGAGTGCGGGAGTACGCACACCCAGCCAAGACCTCTCGCATCTCCCTGGGGCGCTGCGAAGTGCGAGATTGTCGCCGATTTCGTGGGCTCCAGGGAGGCACGGCGAAGTACGGGAGCACGCACACCCAGCCAAGACCTTGCAGCTCCCTGGAGGACTGCGAACTGCACAACTGCCGCCACCTTCGTGGTTTTCTGGGAGGCCCACCAGGGCGGGGGAGTACGCACGTTTAGCCGAGCCCTCGCAGCTCCCTGGGGGGGGGGGGGGAGGCAGCGACCTGCGCAACCGTCGTCACATTCGCGCGCTCCTGGGAGGCCCAGCGGCGGGCCATCTGGGGGCAGCGACCGGCGCAACTGTCGCCACTTTCGTGGGCCCCTGGGAGGCCCAGCAGAGCAGGGGAGTACACACAGCCAGCCAGGAGTATGCACATCCAGCCTAGACTTCGCGGCTCCCTGGGGGGCTGCGGAGTGCGAAATCGTCGTCACGTTGGTGGGCTCCTGGGGGGCCCAGCGGAGTGGGGGAGTATGCAGACCCGGCCGAGACTTAGCGGTTCCCTGAGGGGCTGCGACATGCGAAATTGTCGCCACGGTCGTGGGCTCCTGGGAGGTCCAGCGGAGCAGATTGTCTTCGCCACATGTTCTGCTGTATGGAGCGTCCATCTACGTCATCGACTCGTGTGGAGAAAGGGTTGGGCACGTCTGGGTGCGTGATCGCCCGCAGCTTGGGTGACCCAAAAGGGGGTCCAGCCGAAAGGGGTGGGTGCAATGGATTTGGGGCAATTGCTTTGCAAATGCACTGCGCCAGATAATTAGATTGCATTGTATTGCAAGTAATACGTTGCACGCGACAAAACAGCAATACCTTTGCGCCCTGGAATGTACTGCAGTCCCCAGATGTATTGCAGCCCCACAGATCGATTGCACCAAATCTATTGCACCATCCCCCTTGTCGCTGGAACCTTTTGTGGGCCCTGGAAACGGCAGGGCCGTCTTTTCACCGTTTCCAAAAAATGCCCCTTGAAAAAGGAAACGGCAAAAAAAACGGCGACCGGAAACGGCAAAAAAACGGCTCCAGGATTGGAACCGGAGCCAGAACCGGTCAAAAAACGGCGACGGAACCGGTAAAAAAACGGCGTTGGAACCGGCAACAAAAACGGCAAAACGGAACCGGTAAAAAAACGGCCCTGTCGTTTCCAGGGCCCACTAAGGCTGGACCCCTTTTTTTGGGTCAACCCGACACGGGCCACGAGCGGGGTCCCTCGCACGTGTCCGAGCGCGCGGCGCGCTTTCGCGGGCCACCTCCCGCCTCCTCCAGCGCCGCCGACGGCCCGAAGGCGGCGTCCGGCTCCTCCGGGGGGAGGCGGGGAGCAGGGGAGGGCGGCGGGGAGGGAAGCCGCGCTACTCGACGGGTGGGGCTGCATGCCGAGAGGTGTGATGAGGCCGAGCCTGTCGCTGGATCGGTGGAAGGTGTG